GACGATTCTAAGAATGCCAAAACGAAATGTTTACCAGCAACTTACCGGGATACTGGAGAAGACCGCGAATGAGCAGAAGATAAATAGATAGAGTGAATAATAACTTATATATAATGGGGGTCAACGACCGTATTAAACATCTGCAAAAATGGAAGGCTTTCGTGTGACAGAATCAAGTTTTTCAAAGATTATGACATCAAGAGAAGAGAAAACTAAGTTTAATAAGAGAAATAGCGATAGACTTTACTGTCTTAAGAGTTTATTTAATTATGAAGAAACTAGGTTTAAACCTTTTTCATTAATACAAACTTACAGAAAATAGGTGCCTGCTACTAGGAAAAAAAATTCTCAAGAGTGGAAGGCGTTTATGTGACAGTATAAAATTTTTTAAAATTATAACACTAAATAAAAACAAAGCTAAGTGTGCCTATATGAAAGAGATACCTATAGAGTTTAATGTCTCAATAGTTTTTTATTTACGAGCAGCCTAGTTTTATACTTTTTTATTAATATTAACTTTCAGAGAATAGACATCAGCAACTAAGAAAAAATAACAAAAAAGGGAGAGGAGGCTATAGAATGCTATTGTGTGATAGCTGAACTCCTTCAAGAACTAGATGTTACTGCTATGAAGAACACGAATAATCTTAGTAGATGAAATATCGATATGATGTTATATTTAAAAAAATTTATGTAGTTGTGAATGGTATATTTTTAAACTTTTCATATCTGAATTTGTTAAATAACAGCAACTAATATTTAACCATTAAAATTATAATTAAACCGTCTAGTATTTTAGATTGCTCCATTTACCTCAAAAAATTATTTTGACATTTATCTAAGCAATTAAACTCAAGTTTACTAAAACAGATACTCGTATAAAAAAATTTCTTAACAATTCTTGTAAATTCTTTGAAAAAAAATGAAATAATTTAATACTAAAATATCATGGTTAATAAAATTATTGGTTAATGCAGTTCAGCTTCGTTAGTTTTTAATTGTTAAATCATAAATTTTACTAAAGTAAAATTTGGCAAGTAAAAAAATTAAAATTGGCTGAAACGTGAGCCAATTGCCTTTTATAGTAAGTGTGGCCCAAAACTAAATGACTAGACAATTAAGCATTCATAAACTCAGTTTATTATATATATATTATATATAATATTATATTGAAAACATTATATAAAAAAAATTATATTAATAATAAACAAAAGTAAGAATAAGAACTTTTTAAGCTTTATAAATAATATTAAGAAATCAGTATCTATACAAAACTTGTTATTTATCTCATACTTTATAGATACAATTCGTTACATTAATTCTAATAAAAATTTCTACAAACTTTATTACTCGTATTGAAATTGATTTAAACATATTCTCGTATATGTTTAACTAACAGTAACAAGTCAAATACTTCCGCATTCTCGTAAAGTAAAGAATAGGTATATAAAATATAGTATTTCCTAATTTATAATAAATTTATCTGACGTATTAATTTATACGTCAGTTCGATTAGTTTTATTTATAAGCAACACCCAAAACAGCATCACGTAAAAAATATACGAAAATAAATATAAATAATTTCGGTAAAAAATCTTCCGCATTTACCTAAAATATTATATGGAGCGACTGAGTTTTATTTGCTGAAGTATTGAATCTACGAGTATCTCAACAGTCGGACTCGATAGTTGAAGTCATTTGGAGTCGTTTCGACTGCGCTGCAAATGAGGTGTGCGTTCGCCTTTAGCAGCCGGTTAGGCAAATTAGGTACTGCAGTACGTCTACCTTGACCATCATCGAGGTCTCAATGAGCTCAATAAATTTCAGATAACTTTGACGCTTCTCATGTTTTTTCTTCATAAACAAATTTGTTGTGAATTAAATAATCATTATTTTATTTATTCAAATTTAAATAGTATTTTATTTATTTACATCTAAATAAAAAAAACATATTAATAAAATAAATAAATAAATTTTTATAATGGTTTTTATATATTTTTTAATCCGGCTACAGGTCCCTTTTTGTTAATAATTAAACGTTGATTTCATATAAATTTAATGACATCATTTAGAATATTAAGTGGTTTTTGCTATTTTTTTTTCAAAGGATATTTAATACGTACATATTCAATTTATATAGAAAAATATAGTAAGTATATATATAACTAACTTTAAGATAATAAAAAGAATTGTCTATTTTTATTTCTGAGATTATTAATTTGCACTATTAGAAACGCGAATCATGATTCTTTAACGTTTTTGTTTAATTAGCGTAAATATTTAATATCCAAGAATATTTTAGGATAATAAAAAATAATAAAAAAAAGCTTTATATATAACATAATTTTATTTTACTTTTTTAACGTTTATTTTTTCGTTATTCTAAATATTAAAATTTAATTACAGATTGTGGTTTTTTATGATTTACTTCTCCTCTATAAAAGTCAAGGTTATCTAACTTTTGTTAAATTTATTATATATTACATATTTATTTAGTAAGATTTAACTGAAGAAACCGAAAAAAGTTGATTGTGTTTTAAGAGAACTGGTTTGTTGTTTATAGAAATTAGAACGAAAGAATGGATGTTGGATGGAATTTAAAACCTATGAAGATACACATATGACCTCATGAAACTTATTTATTATAACTTCGTAATCACAAAATAATTTTCAAAATTTTAGTTATTAATAAATTTTAAAAATGCAACCCTGAAAGCGATAAGGGAAGGAAAAGGAATGTAACAAAGAATGTCAGAACAAACTATAGATATAAACTAATATAGCGGTACGCTACGAGGAGAAAGTTTAAAAAGTGTCTTAAGTGCATTAAATCAGTAATCGGACTTTAATTATAAAATTTTAATATATATTCATATTTTAGAATCTAATCTATATGCGAAAATAATAATATATAAAAAATTGGTAAGTCTAGACATAACTTTTCTATAAAAAGTTAAAATGTAAGTCACTATTTTTCCTCTCCAACAATAATTACAGGCATATGAGAAAATATATTTATTTTAGAATAAAAATGAAAAAATTAAACTATGGTTATATATTTCTGATAACTATCGACATAATAGCGGTACAAAATATCTTAAATATTTATAATAAATTATTTAGATTTTCCAGATTAACCTATAAATCGAATAAAATTTTAGAATCTTTTGACTATTTAGTAGACATACATATATACTTAACTACTGCTCTGCAAACTCATACTAGGGAGGTCTTTGCAAATATTGAGTTGGGCAAAAAGTATTCAGCGTTATTGTGTTCGTTCAAATTTAAAGTACAGTTTTAAAATGGGTCTGACAGTAGCGATTTTTTGACTTTTCTATTTAACAGCTTATAATTGATAAAATGTTATTGATTCATGTCAAAAGTTTGGCCAAACAGAGATAAGTGAAATTTTTAAGACGATTCTCTATTTTATAATAAAAATAACAAATTTAGTATATTTTTATAAATAATATGAAATATACTAAATATAAAATATAATGATATATTAATAGTGTTTTTTCTAAATCACATACAAGGAAAATTATTCGTAGACTCCCAGTCGCATGAACAGATGCAGTTCTTGAAGAAAAAACAGATAATAATTGGTAATCCTAAGAGCCATGTCATGTAGAGTGTCTCGGGCACGGCATGTCCCTAAGTAATCTATAAGTAATTTATAAAGAAGAAAATAGGATATATAGAACGAAGTTTTTGTGAATTTCGTTTAGGTTTATATAGTTGACTATGGGCTATTTAGTTGCACATATACGTATATTCAATAATTGGATGACGATTCTGATAGAATCGTTGAAATAGGATTTCCTCTACTTTGAAGTCAAATATCGAAATTCCCATATTCCTGCTATTCCTCTTATTTGTGCTTTGACAACACTTATCGAAAGTATAGTTTGTTTTTGGAGGTCCGCTAATTACTACGGTAAAAGAGCCATGTTATGTAGAATGTCTCGGGCGCGCCATGAGTAAAATTGTTGTTATTTTCAATGCAAATTATAAAATCGAAATTGAGAGAAAAAACAATATGATGATTCAAATTCTGGTATGAGAGTCGGCGTATTTGTGCCTCGGCACTAAGACAAAGCAGTGTTGTCTAGTAATAAATTTTAGAATTTAATCCTTTTAGAAGCAAATTGCACCAATCTCAGTACGTTTTGGAGAACGTACGTTTTGGCAGTAATTATCACACCTTCGGATTTTAAGGCGTGTAATTTTGTAAGTACTGTTAACAATTATTATAAGATAATAGGTATAATAATGAATTAACATTATATAGCCTCTATGACTTTCTTCATGTTGGTTATTTTTGGTAGAAAATTGTAAGTGAGCATATCTACATTTCCTTTTAAATTTAGGCACAAAAAGTAGCAAAAAGGATTAAAAATAAGAAATTGGCAATACTGATGTGACAGTCTACATAACATGCATTTTTGGCATAGCCTGAAAAAGCCAATTTTGACGTGCCCGAGTCGCTCTACATATAAGGACCCCAACTAATTAAACATTTAAACTATTTCTATTTTTCATATGTGAGTTAAAAATAATTAAAAATAATGACATATATATATATGCTCATTTCATTTATGAAAATGTGTAAGAAGGATGCATATACACATATTGTCATAATAATGAAATATATAGTATTTAGAATACAACGGTTATAGGACTTGGTATCACTTTCTACCAAATAAAATCAAAAAAATATGCAAATAGTGGTATATTTAACATGCCATTTCACACTTTGATCTCACATTGTGGGGTCTTTCATCTATTAACAGTCAAAGAAAGATGTACCAAAAATAAATTTATTTAAATAAAAATGAAATATAATTCTATAAGTTTATAAACATTTAATATTAATTATTATGTGATTGATAATCATTTTAGATTAATGATAACAGTCAATACTTCATAATTGAAGTTTAGAAATGAAATAAATAGCCATTATATTAACAATGTCAAAAAATATATTTGCAGTAACTTGCCAGAAAAAAAAATAATTTAACAAAATTAAAAAGAATTTAAGGAACAGAAATCCTCACTGATAATAATGACTTCTTATTATAAGAAACTATCATCGTTAGCTGGTACAAATGCGATTGGTATACATACGATCGAAGGTAAGTTACACATTTCACATACATATATTTCTAGCAACTAATAATAATATTCTATTTTACAGGTATTATCTTGGTTATTGAGAAAGGCGTTGATACTTTACTAGATATTCCATGCAATAGCCATGAAGTATGGGAAATCGATAAGCAGCTAATGTGCGTAGTAAGTGGCCCAAATAACCAAATTCCTGACATAAATAGATTTATCCATTTTATACGTGAAAAAACCGATTCTGTACTTGATTTGGTTAAATATATATCCGAGTATATAAAAATAAACACTCAACATTTGTCGATAATTATGGCTTCAAAAAATTCAACTGGTACATTGGGATTATGGCATATAAACAGAGGTGCCTCATTTAGACTTATTTGTTACACTGCAATTGGTCCTAAGGAAAAGGAAGCAAAGGCATATATGATGAAACACTACAAACTCAACTTGAACTTTAAGAATGGAATGAAATTAGCTTTTCGTACTATGATACACATAATTGGTTGGGAAAAATTCAAATCTTTTAATATTGATTTCGCACGAATTACAAACACTGGAAACGTTTATATAAATACTTACGCCGACAATGAACGCTATATACGTGAATTCATGGGTGCATAATCATAATAATGAATAGAGTTTACATCACTAAAATATATTAAAAGTATTATCAAATATAATACAGAATCAAATTTTTTAAATTTTTTATTACTTTTTATAATTTTAATATTGAAAAATTAAATTTATTTAATTAATTTGAATTGTTTTAAAAAACATCACTTTAACCATTAGTAGGATCTATTTAGACTGAGTGGAATATTGTAATACTATTGGAAGACTATCAGACAACTAACCATTAGTAGCATCTACTTAGACTGAGTGGAATATTGTAATACTATTGGAAAACTATCAGACAACTAATAGCGAATAAAATATTATGGTATGGTTCACAAACTCTCTACTTTTATATTGGAACATTAAACTTCAAACCAATTCGAGTCTCTAAGAAGCTTAATCATTTGTTCCGAATAAGCTCCACATTATATAGTTCACTTAAACCATTAAAAGATTTGAGTCCTAAATAACTGTGCCTGTTCTGCGTTTGCGAAGAATATGCACATAAAAATAATATTGCATTTCTAACAGCGGAAGAGTTTGTCAACCTTTGATTTATTCATATATGTATTTCTGCAGATCTCTGTAGGAATACAGAGATATTACCGAAACGCTTGAGGTGTTTAACGTTGTAAGAAAGTGGTGATTACACATATTGAAGTGAAAAGTAGATATTGTTATAAATCTAATGAAGGCAATCGGTTTTTTTAGTGATGAGATCAAGCATTGACTTACTAATATTGTGCTTACTAATAACAAATTATGCTCCGTGAAAGGCTTTCCAAAAAATCGTATCTAAACTACCAAAACTTTCAAACCCATTAATGTAAAATAAGCAGTTAAGTATTAAAATGAAATATATTTAATTGGTTATTAGATATTAAATATTAATATTTTTTGACTGTATTGTCGGGTGGAGTTGACGACCCTGGCGAATATTATAAATTTACTTAGATTTACTTTCTAATATGTTATTAACTTTAAATTATTTTTGCAAACTATTAATTTTTAATTAATTTTTAATTAATTACTAATTAATTGTTAATACTACCAACTTGCAACAAGTTTTTTAATTATTACCAGGATTAGGTCGTTTATTTAACAAATAAAATTATAATTTTTTTTAATTAAACACAAATTTTTTTTGATTTCAAATATTTTAAAATTTTTTAGATAAATTATTTCTGTTCACTTTATTTGTCATAATATAATTTTTAATAATTTTTATTTTTTAAATGCTATTTTTAGTATTTTTTTTGAAAATAATTTTGCAAATATTTTGTTGAAGTATTATAACTATTTTTTCTGGTTCTTTAAATATTATTATAACAAAAATATTTATTTTCTGAATCAAATCAATTTTGTAAATATTTTTTTTGTTTTTGTTTATAACAATAATATTTACCTTACACTTAACACCTTAACGCTAATATCTAAAAGAACGCAGAAATGTAAATGTAATTGTCGCAGTGTTAATTGCCCGACGCTTAATTAATTATAATTAATACTTTTATGCAAAATATAAAATAATTACACATCTAATTACATTGTAAATTTACCTTTGTGACTAATTCCTCATCGGGTTCCTCATTATTATTTTGCTCCAAAAATGGAAATGCGTTTTTGCTCAAAATTGAGTTAAATTTTGTCATATTTGCAATTTTATTTATCAATTTATATAAAAATACTCAAATAAATGAGAAATAATTTTAATTTTAATTACAGATTAAAATAATTTGAACAATTATGCCGTATATTGTCATTTTGCTTATCTTTAATCACAGCTGCAAATGTTTAAATTTTAATTAAGTTCAATATTTGTTAATTTAAAATAATTATTATCTTCATTAAATTACTGCCTTACAGTTGAATAATCGAATTTATATAAATCACGTAGTACTACTTTATATAAAATTAACTGAATTAATTATATAAAAGAATTTATGACCGTTTGCCATAAAGTTTAAGTCGCGACTGCGGGTTGCTGGCAAGATCAAGCGCTCAGTGTCAGAGTCAGAATCGTAAACTCTCTAAAACTGGCTTAGAGTTGCGTTCGTAAAATAGAATAAAAATAAAAACTCGAAATAAAATTATAATATTTTCGATCATTTTATTTAGTTTATTTACGTTATAAGTTGTTAAAAGCCAAGCTTAGTGGCTTGACATGTCTAAGTCTATGTTGTTAGTAATTGAGTTAGAAGCTTTTAACGCTTGAAGAAACTCGGAGTGTTCAGAATTAAATGAGTCAGTTTTTTATTTATACAACTCAGATTTAATAAGAATCTTTTAAAATGAGCTTTAAAGCATTAGAATGAATATTTTGTGATCACTTCGTTAATTAAAGCAAAAATAATAGGTAAATAATGACTGTCATTTTCGTAGAATATTTTTTATAGTTGCTGCTGAATATACAGTGTTAGATTTTAAAGACAATACAGAAAACATTCCATGAAATGTCTTACATTACAATGTTTATTGGACACTACTAACCCTAGTATGCTTAGAGAAGCACAAAGACAGAATATATTGAATATTCAGTTTTAGATGTTGAAGACAATAAGGTATGCTTAAAGCAGAAGAAAGACAGAATATACAGAATATTCAGTTTTAGATGTTGAAGACAATAAAAGTTTAATAAATTATTCAATACTACAATATTTATTAGACTCTACTAACCCTAGTATGCTTAAGAAAAAAGAAAAACAGATTTAGTGAATTGTAATAAGAATCAAAAGAAGAATTAAAGAAGAATCAACTTTTCGAATATAACTGCTCCATGATTAATGGAAAAAAATTATTTATAGTACAAAAAATTCGCTATCAAATTAATTTATTATGACAAATCAAACAGATTAAGCAGTCATTTTAACAATACAACTGTCAATACTGGTGTGTACATTATTCAAATCCTCGACGGCCTTATCGGAAGCAACATGGGTGCAGGAGTCAGCATCTGTGAATACAGCTGGTACACGCACGTTTTTGCTGTCATTAATGACTTTCATGGATTTGCGTGCATTCTTCATGTATAAGCCACCCTTAACTGACAACTTAACATAGCAGGAGTTTTTAAGTACTGGATTTTTGTAGTTTCTGCATTTTTGGTAAGTTCTTGCAACGTCTATGCCATCGAAAATAATTTGTTGAGTAGCAGCATTAACGTCAATCATTATTTCAGCAGAAGTTTTAGCAGCGACAATACCGCATACATTCATTTCATCATGCATGGTGTTGACAACAGCCTCAACTACTTCATTCTCAGCAGCTACACAGGTATCACTCTCTTCACGACGGGACTCAATACTATCAACGGCTTCCTCAACTTGATGCAAAGGATCTACAACAATGTTCTCATATTGATGTTCCAATGCAACTCCAGTTTGTACAGCTGAATTCTTAGCATCATTGATCATATCATTTACGAGACCTTCATAGTTCACAACTGCACCATTGACCTATGTATAGAAAAATCTATTAGAAACTTAAACCGATAGATATTTTGATTTCTTTTAATATTTACAGTTAAAAGGCAAACAGCCAAAATTGCAAGTGCGAATTTCATTTTTTCTTGGTGAGAATAAGATTTTTCTTTATTTGCTAATTTATTAGCACTACTCTAATTTTTTGACAAATCATGACTTTTATACTAAAATATAGGTTTTAACTTATCGAAGAGTAGTTATCTACAAATCTGATAAGATTTAACACGCTTCTAATCGTACATCGGATAATAATTTTCGGCAAAACCAAAATTTTGCAAGAAAGCATTTTTTATGACTTTTATTGAAATGATTTTTATGATTTATGATTCTTTTTCAATTTTTTATTCGTAAATAACTAAAATTAGTGCACAAATATTTTTAAATAACGTCTTAAACCTTCAAAGTATCTAAAAGAAAAAAGAAAATTATTATTTCGTCAATCTAGAGGTACAGTGAACCCACTGCAAATCAAATATTGTTTGTGACAAAAAACAAAAATAATGCAAATATTATATTATTTTAGATGATATTAGAAAATGGATATCAATATTCCTATTATATCAAAGTGATTACATTTTCAATATAAACCTTTAAATGTAAAAAAATAAATGGCAAATTAATATTTATTACAATCAACTTTCAACTAGGGTAAATATCTATATCTACCAAAAATATCTAAATTTACCTACTTTGCGAAGCTACGTCTTGAATTCCGACGAATTGGTTTCCGCCTTGAAGTCCCGGAACTTAAAGGTTCATTGATATTGATCGTTGATTCTTAATACAATCTTTTAAATATAATAAAACAGATGAATGGCAATGTAATATTTGAGGTGAAATTAAGAATACCAACCTGTAAGTCGATAGATTCTCGATCGATTCTCGATTTCTACAAAATCCTACTTAGTTTAACTCCTATGTAAACGGTGCTTCGCTTGAATTAAGAAGCGACATTGATACGCTAAAGATTAATAGCTCCGTATTAAAACAAAACAGCGTGAGTTATATTCCTGTATAAAGATATATTGATCTTATATTATATTACAACTGGATTTGTTATTTAGACCTATTAGCAAAAGCTGAAACTTAAGATCGTTAAACCAATTTTAAGTATCTCGACAATACCTGTAGAATGACTCCTTGATGTGTGACTACTTTAACATATGCGTATGTCGATGATATTGATATCATTGGCCTGAAGACCCGTGCCGTCAGTCACTATTTTCCAACTTAGAAAAACAAGCGAAGCAAAAAGGTCTTGTATAAAGTACTTTCTATCAAAAAACAACATGTTACTTTTAACTATTATAAATTCGAAGTTGTGAAAGGCTTTGTTTATTTGAGAACCAGCATAAACACCACAAATGCCAACACATGTTATTTCAGACTAAGTAGGCAATTGAAAATTAAATCCCTCTCTCGGCCAACAAAAATCAGGCTATACAAGTCTCTTTTCATGGCTGTCGTGCTGTATAGTGCAGAAGCTTGGACAATTACCAACAGTTAAAGGAAGGTATTAAGAGCATTCGAGAGAAACATTCACAGGAAGATTTATAGTTACTTACATGTT